AAAGACTTGGAGCCAGAGAGAATAGACATAAATATGCTGATGCTCAGGCTCTGTGCTGTGGCATGAGTAATAAAATCTTACTAGTCTCTGACCCAGGAATCTCATGTCTTTTGCCAGCATCTGTGAATAGTAATACTAAGAGTAATATAGTGATATACACTAATAGTGATACTAGTGAGTAATAGCTCACTAGTAGGCTAAGGTTAGCTTGTTAGGTTAAGGTTAGTTTGGAAGTAGGCTCAAAAGAAATCCCAGATGTGATATCTCTATATTCTGAAAATAGGTAATCCTTGTGGTTATTTTTACCGAGGAAGCAACTTTATGCATTTTTGCTTGTATACCTAACAATTGGTCCCCACTCATCTCTACTCCCATCATTGGTTTTTGGCCTTTTAAAGATGGTCTCCATAATATGATGTTTCATATATATTCTTTGTATCCTTAGAGTGACTCCTTCTTGCTATCCTCACAGCTTTTATCATTTATGTGTATAGGTAGTGTTTTACATGATGAAGTGTGACATCTTTAAGGTCTACCCTGTATGGTTGTGCAGGCTGGTAACCATACAAACTTGCCTGGCTAAGGTAATAATTTGGAGCTGAAATATATACCAAACTGTGTGGCCTAGTGTATGGTTACCTCCACCTGAAAGAAGGGACACATTTTTCTAATTTGCATAAATTTACCACATCTCATTAAGTCATGAGCCTACATAGGAGTGCTGGGATGGATAGATGTGTGCATGTATATACCTCTTTTGACTTTCCATGAAGTTATCCTATGAACAAAGGTGCTGATGACCTGTGATCTCTTGTTTATCTTTTCCACTGGGTGTCTGTTCAGCCCTCTGGGGATCTACTGAACTGTCCAACAGAAGCTGTGAATTAAAAACTGACCTGCTTAACATCAGCCTCTTGGATGTGTACACAATGTTTTGGGCTCTGCAGGTTCTGAGACCAAAGAATTCATGAGCCCTTCTACACTGGAGTTGTGGAGTGCTGGATCAGGGTTGGTGGAACAGGTTTAGTGGTTAAGGATGATTTGCTCAGCCTGATCTTGTCTGTTTTTGTTTTTCTAGGAAATGTGGTCTATTTAAAAAAGAACTTTTGGCAACCTGAATGGCTCAAAAGTTTTGACTCATTTTGGCTAAAAACAGTAAACTTCAGATGCTCATATTAAGGTCATAAGACAAAAACCAGTGTGGAAAGACATAGCTAGAAAATAAGTCTCTATCCAGTGCTTTTGATTAACCAAAAAAATCCTTGTTTTTTCAAGTTCACGCAAGGTTAAGATTTTCTTGAACTATGAAAATCTGAAACTAATTTTTTTTGTAGGATGGTAGATTACATGTCTATAATTCTGCCTGGAAAGATCTGTTTGTTACTTAATCTTCTACCTCTTTCTGAATTTTTGCTCTTGACTATGTTTCTTTTTCAGTCAAACCAGTGTTGTTCCTAATTAGAAATTTAAATTACATCTGCTGTAGTTTGTACACACCAGGGGATATATTTATGTAATACTTCTAGCCAGCCAAGATATTTTTCATAACTTCAGCATAACATTTTTTCATAGAGTGCTTATTGATGAGACATTATAAAAATTGTGCAAGAATGGACACGAGAGAAGCAGTTGTGTAGCTCAGGAGAGACCTCACAGGAAAAACATTCCTTAAATATATTTTTCATATAAAAAAATATATATATACATATATATATATTTTGTTTTCATATATATATATATATATATTATGGTGCAGGAACACATTTTCCTCTTTGTCTTGTGCTATTCTTTATATGTTCTCTCTCAGTATTTCTCATGGATGTGTGCTGTTGGAAAATGAAAATAATCTTACAAATTGTGGTATTTCATTAAATTTCAATGAGGTAATTAAGGAAACTAGTTTTCAAAGATATACATTTATTTCAGTGACTTGAATGTTGCTTTATCAGAAAATGCCGAGAATACTAAATATAGATAGGTTGGGCTTGTCTAGATCAGCATCTTTGAGAGTCAGATTGTTGAAAGAGAAGACATGCAGGTTAAAACAGCAGAGGCCCTTGCTGTGGGTGGAAACTAATTGGCTGAAAACATGAATAAATTATACTTGTTATTCATGTCAAGAAAAAGCAAGGAGAGAAGGGACGAATATTTGGATCTACCAGTGCATTACATTCTGACACATGATTAAAGAAAAAAAAAAGTAGATCCTCAGATGTAGGCTCCTCCTTTTATAGCAAGTAAGAGGAATAGAATCTCCATTACTTGCCATGCTTTCTTCTGACTATTGTTTCAGATTTGGCATGTTCAGCCCAGAAAGTGTTGCTGAGATGGTTGCTAAGGAATTCTCTAACATGAAACACTTATTACTGGGACCTCTGTCATTGAGCTTTGGGGTTATGTTAAAATGCTTTCAATTAAAAGGCTCTGAATTTAGGGTTGGATAATTCTGTCCCTCTTTTCATGGTCTTGCCCTGCGTCTGGGTCCTTATAGACTATGCGTATTGCAATAGATTGACTGCAGTTCTCGTCCTAAAACGAAAGATCCTAGTATGTTGTTATCAGACTGAAACTTATCCAGATTAGATATTGTAGAGTAAGATCTTTTACAAACGGATTGATTTTTCTTTCCAAATCTTTCACAAAATTTGCATACAGGAGGCCTATGGAATTTGGAAAATTCTCTTTGAAGCAGCTGTTAGTAAAGTCCCTCCGAAGAAACACTTCTTTTGCCATTTTGGATCCTGTCTTTTAAACTTCAGCTTGCTATCCTTCTCTGAAAATTTCTACCCCTCTGGGGCCTCTGTGACTCTCCCTGACCTTGGATCTCTACTTAACATCATCCTACTTTGACACTTCTTTGGGCATTCTTGTGCTGTGCTCCTGTGGCTTCATAAATTGTTCCAAATTAAGGTCTAAGCTCTGTTAAAGTGGTTGCTGTCTGTTTTTTCGTATTTCCCCTCACTCTTTGAAAGCCCCTTAACACAAGTCCATAAATAGGTTCTCAGTTAAATAGATTACTTTGGAAGTCTATCAAGAGGGTGGAGTTAAATGACAATCATTACTGTATGCTTTCTGTGTTGAGCCGAAGAGTTAGCTGCAGATGCCCAACACGTCTAAGACAAAAGTCCGGGGTTTGAGTCTAAGCATCATCACTTAATTGACCCCATGACCTTTGGTAGATGATTTAATGTTTATGTCTTTAACAGGGATTTAATCCCTATGTTCCCTTAAATCCAAATGTTCAAGGATAACTTGATCTAGATCAATGGTTCTCATAGTGTGGTCCTTAGATCAAGAAGAACATGGACATCACCTGGGAACTGTTAATGCAAGTTCTTAAACCCCACGCCAGACCTCCTGAATCAGGAACTCTGCCCTTCAGCAAGACCCCCCAGGTGATTCTGAGGGATGCTAAAGTTTGAGAACGACTGATCTTTGTAGAGTCGAATCCCTGGAATGGCGAGAAGCTCTATACCATAATGTTAGTAGACACTGAGGACTGTGTAGTCATGTCATGGCTGACGTTTAAATCCAGTATCTTGTGTTTCATCTTTAAGACTCTGTACAACGGTTCACCCCTGCATCATATTCAAGTGTGCAGCTATTACCCACAGAATTGCAGCTTCCAAGCTCCTATGAAGTGCTGGCAATTGAGAAGTGAAAAATCTTTCTTAGGGTGAACAAAGAATTTGCAGTGGACAAGGGATTCATTTCCAGTAGCAACCTCCTAATTTTGTATTCATAACATCGTATGCATGTGAGGCTACAAATGCAACGTCTGCTGATATACATTAAGTAATTGGGCATCTTGCAGCCCCATTTGCATGCAAAGGTGGTTTTACATGTCCCCATTTACAAGTCTAAAATTAAAGCCCAGTTTGAAGCAGGCTGAAGTCTTGCAGCTAGGAAAATAATGAGATAAGGAAGAAATGACTTCTGTTAATCAGCACTTCGGTCTCTGCTGTTCAATCTTTGCTAATTTGTCCTTTGAAATTGTACATTCTGTGTTGAAGAGAGAGGATTCTAAGTGTCCGTTTTAAAAAACAAACAAACAAAACCCTACATTTATAAGCTGATTGGGTTTATCTGTAGCATTTCCCCTAAAACTGGACCCATACGTATGCTGCAGTCTGTTGCCACGCTGGATTTCTGCTCTGTGAAGTATTCGTGCTCTTGTGGGACCCCAGGCATCATCTCAAAGAAGAGGTCCCCCCACACACCCAACCTCCACAGATGTACAGACTGAGTCTGTGGCATCATTTCATCTTAGTTCAACCCACATTCATCAAGCAGCTACTTCGTGCCAGGCATTGTGCCAGAGGCTGGGTGTGTAAGGATCAGTCAAGTTTCTGTCCTCAAAAGCTTCCTGGTATCTCAGTGCTGTGTTATTTTTCCTTAAGTGAAGTCTTCCCCGACCCCCACCCCATGAATTAAAATGCTTCAGGGATTCTTCTCTGATTATGTTCTACCTGTGTCCCCAGGAGAACCAGGGACCTAAGGGACCCATGCCTGGAAGAGTCAAAGCTCCAAAGCACAAGATTGTGGCCAGAGAGCCAGTCAGAAGGTTCATGAAGAGAAGGTGGCTACATTACAAACGGCCTGTGTTTCCAGTTGGTGAAAGGATGTGGGAATGTTTTCTGTACCCCCAGTGTGGGTCACAGTGGCAGAGAATGTCCATCTCAACCCTTTTCAAAGGGACTTGTCCACAAGTGCCACCTGGAAGAACAATGGATCCCTACAAAGACAGTTTACCAAGAGCCAGCTGTGAGGCAGTCACTTGCCTGTCTTCATGGGCTGCCGTATTTGGTTGTATGCGTTCGTTTTACTTTGACAACTAGATCCTAAGCTCCCAGAGAACAGGGCTGGGCCTTAAGAAGATTATCTTCCACGGTACCCATTTGGTGGTGAGGATCATAAATATATGAGCAGGAAGAATGTCTAGAGGTTTATGTGCATTAGTATTTTCTCGTGGTAATCAATGTTTTTTCTCTTTGTTCCAGTCCAGGTGCATATACCATGATAGTACCAAACGAAAACCGAAGAAATCAGATAAAAAGGAGTACGTATATTTATTCAGTCAACATTCAGAATGCTTCCCATCTTCTGAATAGAGTAGGATTGGTTTACTTAGGTTTGTAGTATTTTTATTTTCTCATTTGTATAGATACAGACTCACTAGATCCTATCAAGTTTTTTTCTTTTTTAACTTAACCGCTTTAATTATGCCTTTTAAAATTATTCTATTGTTAGTGTGTCTAAATTTGTTTCTCAATGTTAATAGCAGAACTCATAGTGCAATCATAAATCTCAGATTTCCATTGGGCTTAAACTTTCCCACATCTTTTGCCAATAAATCTATCTAGTTCCCAGGAAATTGGGCTGACTACAGATACTCTTACAGAACTATGAACCCTGCGGAGCAGAGGAATTATATATAAAATGGACCATGACCTAATTTGTCCCTGTCTTGATCTGTCTTGTCCCATCCCTTCTTAATGGAATTTTTCTTTAACCACTGTGTACCCTCAGCTGTTTTTATTGGTGAACCTTAGTTTCCTTGTCTAGATTACAATCTCTTTGAGGGAAGGGGCTACACCGTACTCATTTTTGTGCTCCTTGTACCTACTGGGTGTGTAACATATTTGATTAAAGTTTTACGGTAAAATAAATGCTGTCATTAAAAGTTACAGCATCATGCCTTAGAGGTAAATAGAGAGCTAAAGTTCCACTAGTTCACAAAGAAGTTAGGAGGCTTGTTCAAGTCAAGCTGTGGGGCTAGCCTTGATGTTCTGTGCTCTCTTTCATTAGATCTTGGTAAGAAATTTAATATTTTGGCTGAGAATGGGTCTACAGGCAAAACAAGAAAGCAGGTCTCTAAATTAGAGACTTGGGTCTCCGCCAGACAAGTAGCACCCTAGGTGGTACACCTGCATCATACATACCAAATACAATAATCACAACTATGCATAGTAATTGTGGGTACTGCCGGCAGGTGACGAATGGATTCCTTAAAGGTTTTGGCATTTTACAAGCTTTTGATTTAAATACTTTCCAGGAATTTAAGCCTTAGTGTGGTCTGGAATTTGGGGGATGTTTCAGAAGTTTTTTGTTTTTTTTTTTTTTTTTCCTTTAATGTTTAAAAATGACCATATATGGACATTTGAGACAATCAGGTCTAAGGGGTAGAGTCAGACTTGCACTGAATAACGGAGTTAGTATCTCTGGTGCCCCCTGCTGTCACACAGCGGGTATATTTGGGGAAATAGCACCGCTCCACTAAGAGAGGCGGCTTTCTGCCTGGTGGTATCCAGCACAAGGAACCCATGAACCCTCACTCCTCCTAGTTGCAGTAAGCATGGGGGACATTTAAAACAAAGGTAGTGGGGCGCCTGGGTGGCTCAGTGGGTTAAAGCCTCTGCCTTCAGCGCAGGTCATGATCTCAGGGTCCCGGGATCGAGCCCCGCATCAGGCTCTCTGCTCAGCAGGGAGCCTGCTTCCTCCTCTCTCTCTGCCTACTTGTGATCTCTATCTGTCAAATAAATAAATAAAAAAATAAAAATAAAACAAAGGTAGTATGGGCATCAGATTCTCTGGAGATATGTTTACTAGGTGTGAAGAGTTCTTATTGACATAAGGAGGTTCTCATTTTGCACACATTCTCTAGAGGAAATTAAATTTAATTTGATATAGGGTTTTAAAAATGCCAGAATGAGAGGAAAAACTAAACTCCTTTATTTTAGTAGGAGTTCGGGTTTTTTTTTTTCTTTTTCAAATTTGAACCTTCAGTTTATTTTCTTGGAGAGAAAGTGCTGGCAGGGGGGTGTGAGGGGGTGTGGGGGCAGGGTGACTCCAAGGAGTGGCTTCCTTTTCTGGATATTTTGTCCACTTGTGCTTGCATGTAGTTAATTGCCCTCTGCTGTTTGTTCCTTGGGCTTTCAAGAGACCTGTTTCCTTTTCACATTCTAATAATTGATGATTTGACATTTCTCACCTGGCTTAGTTGCTGAGAAAGAGCTGGAGAGTCTTGAGAATTGGAAGGAGCAACATAGAGCGAAGCCCATTAACCTGGCACCACGGCAGTTGGGTAAGCTAGCGAACCAGGTGCCTGAGTCGGGTGGGAGGGGGCCACCCAGGGATCCTGTTAGCGCCTTGCCTACACCTGTCTTTGGATGCACGTTACAGGTTTTGGGGTCACTATGCTGCTTGGAATGGAAATGCATTTAAAACTGAAACTCTTAGGTAGGCTGGTATGTTATTGTTTCTGATTTTCTGCGAGAAGCAAACCTATGATGCCACAGTTATGTGGGAATAAAGTGATGGCTTAATTGCTGAATAATTTAGAGCCTCTTAGATGATCAACTCTGAAGAAAGCTTACCTGGGGCGCTGCATATTCCTTGTCATAGCACTGGTCAGGATGGGAGTAAAAGCTAGCACATGCATATTAATCCTGGCAGTATTGAATGCTAATGGGAAAAAAAATGAATGGCGATTCAATTCCAAAAGGAAGATGAGAATGAGCTGGGGACCCAGTGGTGGGTATAAAGAGACCAGCTGTTTTTTCATTGTACAGGCAGAGAGACCTTTGGGTCTCCGGAGTGTATGCCAGTGTGATGAACTGTGTGGGCTGCCTTTGCCTGGTGTTTGAATCATTCGACAGGGATGCCACCTAAGGGGAATCACTCATGTGCTTTCTTCTGTTTTCTCTTCTGGCAGCATCTGAGAACTGAAAGGGGCTGGATACACCAATCCCAGAGATTTAGTGAATACAAATGCCTTAAAGTCAGGGGCTACTTGTTGCAAGAGTTTTAGAAAAGTAGTTTTTCCAGGATGTAGGTTAAAATAAGCCAATTTGGAAATTGTTTAATGGGTGAATATAGTGGTCTTATTACCATCATCCCACTGTATTTCATGAAATGTTTAATCTCAAGTGTCACCTTTATGCTGAGTAAGCCACATTTGAGGGGCACCACAAGAAACAACTTTGTCCTTACTAATGGGCCCCCTCAACCTGGCATGGGACTAGTTTTTCCCATGCTGTTTGGATGAAATTAGATCTTATTGGTCTTTCTCAAATGAAAGCTGTCCAGCTAATTCTAGGCATTAAACAGTGTCATTTAGTAATTAATGTTCAGTCTTAGGTAGTAGTAAAAATTGTTACTAATGGAGATTAAAACTTCTTCCCTGCTCCAGCCTAGGATTATTCTGGGTAGAAAACTAGCAAAGGAAACAGGACATGGCTGAATTTTCCTCTATTGACTCCTGTGTTCCCAGATTCTGACCCCTCCTGGGTCAAAGGAGGAGAGAGAGAGATGAGAGGTAGTATGTGTACTGTACAGATCCTGGTTTCTGAATGTCTTGGTGAATCCTTACTGGGATTCTCACCCCTGGGGTTCTTGGGGTTCTTCAGAGCCCCTTTGCCTGCCATCTATCTCTCACCTGGATTTCCCTGATAGACATGGCATACTTTCCTGCTGGTGTGCTTGGCTTCACCATTGGCTCTTAGTAGGGAGACTGTCTTTGTAGGGCTCCATTATTCCTCCAGGTGGCCCACGTGGGCAAGTCCTTTAAGAAGGTTTTAGATTGGTGGTCTCTAGTAAACACTTGTGCATCCTTTCTTCCCCCAAACTCTGGGACTGCAGACCATTTGCAATGTAGCCACCTCTTCTTGATGACCTAAGGAGCCACCTAACAGCAGCCAGGTGCATGTAGGCTTTGACTTTTCTAGGTATAGGGCAACTAGGTACTTCAATCTCTTGGAGATGCAGATTGAGTTCCCCAAGTGATTTCCATTAAACCTTTCTTGCTTGTCTTGGTGTGAATATTCCTTCTTCCTCAAATATACACACAAAGTGGAACTCAGAAAAACCTCTTTCCTCTGATTTCTACCTCCCTTTGACCTATCCAACCTCTTTTATAGGCTGAAGGCAGTTGCTAGTTAAGTTTCTCCAAACTGCTTTTCAGTTACCCCCCTGCAGAGAGCCAGGTCCCTCACTTTAGAATCTGTAGCAGTTGGTGTCTCTTATCTTGGGGCCTTAGGCAATGTGAGTCTCACTGCAGCTGTCCGTTAATGATATATCTGGAATGATCAAGGCTATATGCATGGAAGGAGGCTGGGTTTTTAAAAAAAAAAGTCTAGAATGTATTAAACTTTGAGATGAGTTTTGAACAAAACCTTCAAATTCTTAGGCATCTGACTTGGGCATCAACTCCTCCCCTATTCCTCTACTGTTTAGAATATTGGAACAGCTCTGGGAGAGGCTGACGGTGGTTGTAACGTTAGATAAAAGCTTCAATAGCCCTTGCTGTTTCTTTCCCATTCCCCAGTCCCCCACAACAGAGACTGAAGGGCCCAAACCAAATAGACCTTATATATCTTTTGGGACTCAGAAGAAATGTCTCTATGGTGTTTTTATCAGTTCAATTACAAAAACTACAGTGAATGCAAATTGTTTTAATGCTTCTTCTGTGTGAATGAATCTTGCAGAGAACTGACACTTTTAGTGACCAAAGCACCAGAGAATTATTTCAAAGGAATCTTTATAATGCACATGCCAAGCTTGCATAAACACTAAAAAATCCCTTAGCAGCAATTCTTAGATGATTGTCAAGCTGCAATGATTTCTGTCCCTAAATTATTTGAGGTTTAGGAGAGAACAGGCAGATAATCTAATATCTATATTTTTCTCTTGAAGAGCTAAAGAAACAATAATAAATAGTATGGATTGATAATCAATTACTAACTAAAATATTCCCATTCTAGTTTTAAAAACTGGATTATAAAGACTATGTATTTGCCTAGTGGCAAGACCCCTGAGGATTTCCTGTACTTTGCTACTAGAATATGGGGCAGTAGAGTCAGAAAAAGAAAAACAAAGCATCACTGATCATCATCCTTAGTAGGTTAAGGAATGGTCGTACTCAAGCAGGACGAATGTTCTAGAATTTCTAAGGTAGGCACTATTTCTTATTATTTAGCATGGGCCTTCAGGTGTAATTTCAGTGTAAGTGAAGACTTGAATACATATATGACTTAAAACCTTGGTGGGAATGTCCTCTTCTTTCAGGAATTTGGCACCATAGGCTGAGCAGCTCTGTTTCTCTTTTAAGAAATTACCATTCTCTAATGTCTTAGTAAGAAAACTGGTTATGTCCTTATTTCCAGGGACATGGAAATGTTAAAGAAATTCACGCTGTAGACTTATCATGTATTAATTAGTCTTTGAAGGCTGACATTTTAGCTTAATATTCGTGTTTCACCTTTGTGACTTTTTTCCCCATAGGTGGTAGCCAATCAGAGGCTGAAGTCAGACAGAAACAACAACTCCAACTGATGCAATCTAAATACCAGCAAAAGGTCAGATTCCATCTCTTTTAGTTTAATTTTGGCAAGGAATTTGAGTACCAGCACTTTTGATAACCATGGAACAATATAGTACCTTTACCAAAAACAAAACCTTAAAGTCGATTGCAGGAGGAAACTCTCATAATCAAAGAAATCAAGAAGTGAGAAGTGAAGAGAAAAATATCTAGAATTCTTATCCAAGCCATAGGTATCAGCCAGCAGGACCCTTGATAAAGGGATTTGTTGTTTATAGCGTAACTCTACCATGTTTTGAATATTTTTTTTAAAAGATTTTAAGATTTATTATTTATTTATTTGTTTTATTTTTAAAGATTTAAAGATTTGAGAGACAGAGAGAGTGAGAGAGAGAGCATGAGAGGGGAGAGGGTCAGAGGGAGAAGCAGACTCCCTGCTGAGCAGGGAATCCAATGCAGGACTCGATCCCAGGACTCTAGGATTAGGACCTGAGCCGAAGGCAGTTGTTTAACCAACTGAGCCACCCAGGCATCCCTGTTTTTTTATGTTTTATTCCAAGAACATGGATTTGTTTACCCAATACCAGTCATGAAAGTAGTGTAGAAAGATTTAAGATGCCAGTGACTTTTTTTTTTTAAATAATGAACTCTATGAGTTTTATAATAAGGAAATATTATCTGATCTTTCCTCCCCACAACCTGTGTGAGGGGTGGGACAACAGACAGAGAGCAAGGAAGAAACACAAGAGATTAATTTCACGGGCAGGGGATGCAGCCTGACCATTCTCTGTGATCTAAGTAGTTGGAAGCACCAGCCTATAATCATGGCGAGGTATAGCCCAAACAATACTGTAATTTGCCTTTCATCATAATTTTGTGTTCCAGAGGTTCAGACTGAAAAATAGTAACTGTGTTTTGTCCTCTGTAATTTCAATACAATTTAGCTAAAAAGAGAAGAATCTGTAAGAATCAAGAAGGAAGCAGAAGAAGCCAAAATGCAAAAAATGAAGGCAATTCAGAGAGAGAAGGTAAGATGGTAGAAAGGATGATGAGCTGCCATTTATGGAAGGCTTCTTGCTCGCCAGGTTCTCTTCTCCACACTGCCCATATACAAATTCATTTAATTCTCATAATAACTTTATGAGTATATGTTATTCCTATTACCTAAGTTTACAAATGAGGAAACTGGCAGAGAGGATGGATAACTTGCCCAAGGGCTCATGGCCAGTAAACAGAACAAGTAGGATTCAAATCTGGCAGACTGGCCTGACTGGCCTTAGAGCTAGAGTTCTTAGCTCTAAGACCACATGCTCTCACCTTCCAAGCAAGCCGTCCAGGTAGGGGCTGTGTATTTGACCAGAATACAAAGCAGTTAGTAACAACAGCAGTCAGTGCACTGCCATTTTTATATCTAAATTTGGAATTTTCTGGGGTAAGAATTCAATAGGTGAGCATACCTCTCTTCCTGTTAAAAGAAAAAGTGTGCATTTGTATTTCAGTATTACTAATAGGATCTATGCTAAACCTCAGAGTGAAAGTGATGTTTTTAGTTCTGATACTCTTTCTGGGGTTTGGTGAAAAAAATCTCTTAAAAATGCTTTTCTGCTGTAGAAGAACAAGAATGTCGTGTTGTTCTACCCTCACCTCTCTTCCTTTTCCCATTCCCTGCAAAGTCCTGAGCTGTAGTAGGTTTTGAGTATGGGAGGCATGGACATTGGTTCATGATACTTCCCACTGAGAGTGGCATCTGCTGCAAGTTTAAGTCATGAAAACACCATTCCTATTCTTGCTGTCTGTCTGCCTGTCTGTCTGCCTATCTCTTTCTCTCTCCCTCCTTCCCTTTCTTTTTCTCTTTTAAAGACTGAGTGTTGGGGGCACATGGGTGGCTCAGCCATTAAGCATCTGCCTTCGGCTCGGGTCATGATCCCAGGGTCCTGGGGTCAAGTCCCATGTCGGGCTCCTTGCTCAGCAGGGAATCTGCTTCTTTCTCTTCCTCTGCCTCCTGCTCCGCCTGCCCCCATGTTCGCTCTCTCGCCCTCTCTCTGTCAAATAAATAGGTAAAATCTTTAAAAAAAAATTTAAAGACCGAGTGTTGGTCAAAATTTAAGCCTGGTTACCAAGCAATAGATGTTTTTACCAGTTGGAGTTAATGAAGCCAGAAGGTGATGGCTTATAAAACACATGCGAGTGTATGAGTCTTTTCTGCTGTCCACTTCGCTGATAAGCAGACACCTTTCTTATAAGGTATTCAGTTATGTTGTATGATCTTGGGCAGCTCCCTGCCATGCCCCTAAACTAAGCCCTACCTCATCCCATTCTCTCATGGCTGGGAGCATCTGTAGAGGGAGATGTGGGCGCTGGTGCGGAGATTAGACTGGACTTCTATGGGAGGAACTCTAATGTAATGCTGGAGGTGTAAGACAAAAGAGTGTAAGAACTTCTGTTTACAAAATTTGATTTGGCAATCTGTTTCCAATTGATCAGCTACTATACCTTCCCTGAAAAGATTTTTATTACAATAATTTGTTTTTAACCTTTAATGCATTTTTTTTGGTCTTTCTACTTCCCTATTCCCCATCCTTTTTCATCCAATTCCCCTCTCTCGTTTCTTTTTATTCAAAGGAAGCCTCATACTTTGGTCTTGTGATTGTAGAAGAGGTGTCCTATTTTTACGTAGTCTGTCTGCATTTTAGATGGAACTAAGAAAATCATCCAGTCATCACCAGGAATTGAATTAAGAGGCTTGCAGATCCTGAAGAATTATTATGTTGCAACTTCTTCTTCTAAGAGCCATGTATTAGTGGTCATTTAATACCATAATTGGCTGGCTTGTGGGTTATTAATAGCTCATTTCTTCCCAGGGTCAAATAATGTACACTATTCAGAAATGTTCGTGGCCGACATGGCTTTCTTTCACGTTGACTAAAAGCAACATTTTCCTCTTTCCAAGTTGTACCATAACACTAGATGTATTGCAATCATTAACTACAGAAATCTTAATTGGGTTGGCTTTTCTAATGTGATAACTGTAATGATTATTGGCATAATTTTATCCAAAAGTGAAAGATGGGGAGAGAATACGGATATGTTGGTCGTTCCCATTCAAAATGTGTTCCTTAAACCAGCAGCATTGGCATCACTTGTCAGAAATGCAGAATTTTGAGACCCCACCTGAGACCTTTTGAACCAGAACCTGCATTTTAATAAGCTCCCTAGTTGATTCTTGTGCACAGAAAAGTTGAGGAGCATTAATATAAGCTTCCTAACAAGGTAAGGAGCAGCCTACCCTGGTCCTTCCACAGACTTGATTTCTCTGGTTAATTGCCCTGTGCTGCCACCAGGACCTAGTTCTTCCTGTTGAGTATAAATCTGTGGCTTTTCCTACTGAGTGTGAGCCTATCTAGTAGCTTGTGTCAGATAAAAGAAAAATGGACATTAGCCATCTAGAAATGGCATCCTTCACATTGCCAGTGTGGAAATGGCCAAGGGAAGCAATAATGGCAGTACTTATGGAGCACTGATTCCTTAAAGTGCACAGCAGACACACATGTGGACAGCAGCCTGCAAAGTACCACCCTCCTCCCCAGGCAAATGGCTACTGTCCAGGAACTCTGGGTCAAGTAGAAACCAAGCAGCCTACTGCCACCCAAGAGTCCCTAGCTTGGTCTGTGGTCTTAACCCCCCTTGCCCTTCAGTTTTCCCTCTCCCAGGGGGAGTCACCACGGAACACAGGTCTTTAATTAGTCACAACCTGTATGTGAGTGAGGGGAGAGTAAACTGTATTCCCTGCTAGCACGTGTGAGTGGTCTTTGATTTTTAATAAGCACAAGGGTGTGAAAGGCAGCTGGCTCTTTAGCATCTGGTCACGTTGATGGGTTCAGAACGAGTCAGTCCTATAAGTCAAGGGGAAATTTGGAAAGGGCGCTTGGATACTCCACCAAACTTTTATTTCCTGTACTAGGATATGTTGACGTTATTTATGTGTGCTCCTGGACTTCATCTTGGTAACTTCAAACCGACCATTGTGAGAGTATTTTCTCCACAGAAATCAGTAAATGCTACAAGTCAACCTCCCCCCCTCTAAGTTTATCAGCAAACCGCTGCTTCAATCCTAAGTGAAAGAGGGCCTCCCTTACCTTCCCCTACAACACACATTCTAAAGCCAAGCCTCTGAGGGCTAAGAGAGGCAAAGATTTCATGAAGTATCTGGCATATACTATGTCTGATCCTTATTGATTTAAATCTAGATTATAATCCATGTAGTAGGCAGAGTCATGACCCTTCCTGCCCCTCCACATTCTAATCCCTGGAACCGAGAAATATATTATGTTACCTGGCAAAGGCGGGGGATTACACTTGCAGGTGGAATTAAGGTTGCCAATCAACTTACCTTCAACTAGAGAACCCCTCGTTATCCAGGTGGCTCCATTGTAATCACAATGAAAGAGTGAGGCGGGAGATGGAGCACTGAAGAGATGGCAGCAGGAGAAAGATCCGGCCTGCCAGTGCAGGCTTTAAGATGGAGGAAGGGACCATGAGCCAAGGAATGTAGGTGGCCTCTAGAAGCTAGAAAGGCAAAGAAAGCGTCTCCCCTGGAGTCTCCAGAAGAAAAGTCATCCTCCTGACACCTTGATTTTAACCCAGAGAAACTGTCTTGCACTTCTGACTTCCAGAGCTGTAAGATGACTAGAGTAAACTTATATCATTTGAAGCCACTACGTTGTGGTTATTTGTTACAGCAACGATAGGAAACTAATACAACTCATGCGGTTTTATGATCGTGTATTAGCTTCTCTTTCTGGAAATCTATAAAACAGAGAAAATATCTCTAAAATATTAGAACATCAGAGTGAAAGAAAGTAGTTAAACAAAGGCAGCATGCCAGCTACAAGCACTTTCTTTGCTGGCTGGATCTTGCAGGGTAAGTACACAGGTTTCTACAAATCCTCACAACAAGCTTTTTATCTGAATTTTGTGTTGTGGGAGTAAACCTCCACCATGATTTCCCTCATAATCACATGGGTGGATTAGGTAATAATTCGATATCCCTCCCCAGGCTTTCATAATACCTACACACTTGAAACCTGAAAATCTTCCGATTCCATGTTAGAGACCCTCCCTACCTCTTGGATTCCTCTTATTCTGTTTTTGATCTACTTATGCTTGAAATAATATTATACAGTGGTATATAGTTTATAAATACTTTCATTTAATATTCAGAACCTTTTGACCTCAGAAAGGGCAGGAAACCAGCCAGGGATCTTTCCTTCTTTTTTGTAGTAAACTATAAAGTCATAAAGCTGATAGTTATTCGGAACACTGGAGGTCACGGTATTTTATGCAGACATTGAGAAGCACTGTTAAAGTCCTTTTTTTTTTTTTAACATTTTATTTATTTATTTGAGAGAGAATAGAGGGCAGAAGTAGGGGGAGTGGCAGGTAGAGGGAGAAACAGGCTCCCTGCTGAGCAAGAAGCCCCACATAGGGCTCAATCTCAGAGCCTTGGAATCATGACCCGAGCTGAAGGCAGACGCTTAACCAACTGAGCCACACAGGCAGCCCTGTTAGTTAGTTTTAATGCAATGTAGTGAAGTAGGAACTAACCAGTAGAAAAGAATGTACGCATATGCAGAGATGCATACATATAATATTTTTTAAGGAATCACATTTATTGCTTCTAGGAAGCAAGTAGCAGCCAGGGCTAACAGTTTAAGAAAGATTACAGGGTAAAACCACATTTATTGCATTATTATCATTATTTATTGCAATATTGTTTTTATAAACTAGGAAAAATGTCCATCTCCTTATCTGTAGAAAGGGTGTAATAATAATAATGTAATGGAACAGAAAGCTTAAAGGATACAATATGTGCAAAGGCCTTCCTACAATGCCCAGCACGTAGTAATCACTGACTTGGGGTGTCCTAACCTAATTAATTATAGATGTAGAGAAGTGCTTTAACACTATCTCATTTGACTTTATTGTATCAAGCTGGTGCGTGGAAGGCAAAGAATTATTTTACACACGA